AAATAATATTACTAGTGAAATCCATCCATCCTTGCACCGTACTTCCCCCCCCCCTACCCTTCATCAAAAAACTAACGCATGTTGAAAATAAAAATATGACAAATAAAAAATTATAAAAAAACCAGCAACATTAAGGATACAAAGAGCCTGAAGATGAACAAAAGACTTACCGGCACAAGAAGTGGAAAAAAAGGAACAGGTGCAAAATTAGGCGATATTTGAGCTAGTGGATGATATGTTGGCGAAGGCTTCACAAACGCACCCGATTTAGAAGCTGAAAGTAACAATTAAGTTTTGTGATAAAAAACAACAGAATAATGGCGAGAAGGAAGAAGAGAGAGGAAAACTATACTCAGAAATAAAAAAGAAAAGAAAAATTCTTTAGTACTACATTAGCTGGCATTTAAATGACCACAAAATGATACTTATGTACACACACATATGTACTTACACACATACAAAAACAACAAAAAAAAACTATGGCTTCTTCACCGTCACTACAATCTTCCTTCACTGACATTTTTCAAATTTCTACTCTCTTCAAATTTTACTTTATCCCCACCGTTCTTCTTGTTTAACCTCCCTTGAATCACCGCTACTTAATCATGATCAGCATAACCATAAGTGAGATGATGGTCGAAACTTTAAAAGACATAACGATTAGTTTTATGATGTAGAGAAACTGGCAAAGGCAAATAAGCGCCATATGCACTCAGATTGTTTGCAGCATATTGAAGCTGCTATTTGTCAGGATGGCCCAAAAATAAAAAAATAATAACAATAATAGCAGCGAAAATGGTGAAGCACTTTATCATTTTAACACCCTACTCATTGTGCCCCCTTCCTCCAGCCCTCTGTCTCTACCGTTATCAAACCAGCTGAAATGTTTCCCCGAACTATAAAACCGTTTTTGCAGAACCACGAATGGCGGACGATTAAAGTAAAACAAGTACAAAAGCAAAAAAGAAGGGAAAGAGGACGGAAAAATCAAAAAAATTTTTTCTCAGAAACCGGAAGAAAACATGAATTTTCATAAAATTCTTTCGTTGCAATTCTCCTTCAGATGGTGATAAGCCCACCCAACTAAGTCCTTGTTTATAAAATTAAAATATGAAAAAAAAAAGTAGAAAAAAAAAATAAAAAACAATAAATCACTCGTCATATACACAAAATAGCGCAATTTTCAATGTCGAAGAAACAGCAATATGACAATTTCTTTAAAAAAAAAAAACGGTGTTCAAATAAACTTCTTCTGTAAACCGACAGCATACTAAGTCACCTCTAACGACTGAGATCACAGTTAGTTGATCAAGAAAGAAAACAAGAAATTAAGTTACTGAAAAAAAAATTACGTATTTATCCGTGCCTGTACCCATATTTTTATGTTCAAGGAATAAACGAGACAAACATAAATGTATATTTGAAAAAAAACCATTAAAGATAACCGACATGTGAAAGCAAAACCAAAATACTGTGGCAAATGGTAATTGCGTTAATATATACGCGTGATAGACTATTATGTAAGAGAAGAAATACAAAATGACCATCGCTTATATAAACACATTTTTTTTTATCCTTTTTCCTATTCTCCCCCTCCCCTCTTCTCCTCCCAACTAATACCCAAATATCTAATTCATTGCATCAATTTCCTAGAGCTTCTATTACTCCCTCTTCCTGCTTACCAAAAATCACAATTTCCGATTATTATCAAACTCAAATACGATACAAAACAAAAGATCAAGAAAAAAAATTAAATCTTTAAGCACCGAGAAAATGAGCAATCTTTTCACTTCCTTAGATGTGAAAGACATTATTACTTAATAAATAACCAGCCAGATATCAAAACCACTTTATTAAACAGTTGCTGCAACTGAGTCTGCAGGGATGAAAAAAAAAATGAAGCAAAAGTCTGTAATCTTCTACCCCGCTACATACTCTCCCAATCCATTTGAAATGCAACAGTAAATTTCCAAAAAAAAATTGTTAATTAAAAGGTGGAGAAACAGAGATCATAACTACCTACGTCAAACAGCAATAAGTGTCACCTATGAGGAAGTTGTTTAAAGAAAAGGCACAAACCGATAAACGCTGGAGTACCCTTTGCCTCAAGTTCCGCTTCCAAAGCAACTTCTTTCTTGTCTTCTGTGAGTTGATGCGTTGACTGAGCTGTCTCAACGTCATCTGCATCGCTCCTGCAAAACATAAAAAATTGAAACAACTTGTTACAAACTGGAGAATTATTCACAAAAAACCATATTTTTTCACCATAGGAAGTAATGTGTTATCAACATTTCAACATTCTTTCAATTTTTTTCCTTCTCTTTCTTCTAGGATGTCCTCCTTTTACAACAAACAATACCTGGTTGTTGCGAAAAGTATTTCGGAGCAAACATAATAAGCTCAAAAAAAGCTTTTATTTTCTGACTTGCAGTCATGAACTTGGAAGTACAGTCAGAAAAAAAAAAAAATATGAAAAAACCCTTTAATACTCAAGCGTTACAAGGTTGGAAAAATTGACACATATATGTGAACAATACAAAATAAAAATAATTTTTTTGCACTACTCTCCACTTCCAACCCAACACACACTTCCACTAACGTTACTCTCTTGAAATACATAAAGATATACATCGCGCAACAGATTACAATTGCAAATTGAAAAAAGCGACATTTTCTGAGCGTATAAATTTTTTTAATGAATTTAGCTTCTTCTTCGCCGTCTCGCCTTCCCCCTCCCTTCTTTTTTTTTTGTTAACGAAAAAAGGGGAAAAATTTTTTCAACATTAGCGGATTGTATGCTTTTTGAAAACCAACACATCAACAATAAAAACACACACACATACACACAAATTTTTTTCCCTTCCATCAAAAAGTGTAGGAATCAACCAACAAAACATCTGAACAACACATATACAACAAATGGGCCAGAGGAACAACAACAGCAGTACCGGCTATTGGTTCACTTGAAAACATGAACTAAACTTATAGTGCCTTTCTTGCAAACTCCCAACTTGACGAATTCTTCAAAACTGATGATAACAGCAAAGACAAACAAAAAAGACCATCAGAACAAAAAGGAAGGATCAAAAAAATTCCCTCCCTTGACACTAGTTCGCCTTTTCTCTTACACACAGCTGCTGCTTTTCTTCCGTTTCAAAAAATGCTGTACACGTACACTTGGAGGAGCAAAAGGCGAAGAAATAAGGAATGAAAAGAACAAACAAAAAGCCAGATGAAGGTCTCGCCTGTTGCCAGTACTGCATGCTTTGTTTTTCACTCTTTTCTTTTTCGTCTACCTTTAATAGTAAAGAAATGATACATCTAGAGGAGAGTATTAACAGGAAGAAGCCAACTTTTTATCTGTAATCTTAAATGCGGTAAAGTTTATTTTTGCCTGTTGGAATCCTAAAATTACAAATTTTGGCCTCTGATGTTAATGGCAACAGGAAGCCAAATGGTGATGTAGCACACAGAAACGAAGAATCTATACTAAAACAGTGGTTTGTCTGGGTAAATATATCAATGATAACATTAGTCGATCATCAAACTTTTGCTGCCTCTACATTTCAGACTTTTTGCTCTTTTTTTCGCTCTTAAAGCAACTGTTTTTTCTTTTCTTTATATTTCTTATTTTTCCTGAATCACATTAGCAAAAAACACTTTTCAGGAACACAAAGCAAAAAAAAAAAAAACGAAGACATTCCCGACAACACTGTTGACTTTCCCTCATCAGCTTTCCTCTCCACCATTACGTGTACAAAGTTTATGTGTATTGCGTAATATTAAACTTGAAAAAATCTTGAATATGATTTAGAGATTTTGTTATTACAAGCAAAAATGGGAAGGGGAAAAAGTTTACCAGCAGAAAGAATCTGTAAACAAAAACTAAAACAAATATGGAGAGGCGACCAAGTAAAGA